AAGTGGGTAAGAGAGCATTCCTTCATCAGGCACAAAGAGAGGTGCAAAGAATCAATAGCTGTAAATTAGAATCTTATTCTGGCTACTTTTGCAAGTAAAACCTATTTACAGATTGGATGCTGAGCCCGAGCAGGAAAGCAAGTACCTTTCCCAGAGATGCAGGTAGACACTAAAGAGGGCAGAATATGAGTGCAGAAATGTACAAAGAATGATTTAAAAATTAAAGAGTTTCTTCAACCTCCCCCCCCCCCCAAAAAAAAAAAAAGAGTAGAAAAAAAGAGAGTCTTTAGCCCAAATACCTACCTGTTTCACAGCGTCTTTCAGGAAGGAGCCTTATCACCTTTCATTTTTATCATATGTAGTTGGCTGTTTGTGTGAAGACAGAGTAGGCTAAACCCTGTAGAGCCTAACAAATTCCAGCTCTCTTGTATGAAGTGCCTGCAAGTTTCCAAACTACTCCCAGGGTCATGGTGACAGTGCCAGCAGTTCCAGTGTGGAATAATGGCTCTATGAACCTTGGTGGACATACAGACATAGAGCTTAAACACTTTCACAACAGGTTATAATTGCAAAAATTGGGTTTGTTTATTTTGTGATTTGTTTTGTTATAAACCCATAGAGGTATTCCTCTTGCTTGTACATCATGCATAACTCTATCTTAGAAAAACTAAAAGTGCTGGGGAACAGCACAAATGAACACAAGCATCCATGATGCTCACCTGTTACAGAGTACCCAGGCATCTTTTTGGCCTGGACCAACTGACTTTCTGCCTGGAGTGTTTTAGAGCAAATTTCAGGGGTTAAAATACAGACAAGAGATTTTGTACCAAGTTGACTCAGTGCTGGAGAAAAGTACCAGGTCTGTTTAATTTGCTAGCTCAGATGTGGTCTGGGAATCTTGGTATATTCTTCTGCCTGGGGTATTCCTAGACCTTCTTTACTGTCTCTCTGGTAATGAAAAAGAAAGTATCTGTTTTAAATATAGCACCAAATAAGGCAAAAACAGATTAAACAATCTTACTTATTGGTATTACATCATAAAAATATAACATTTTTCTAAGATATAAATAAATATACATATATTATATACATATATACTAAATATATACATTCCTCAAAACTGTAGGAAAAATCATGCAAAGGTATGTGGTAAATACCAAAAATGCCTCAGCATTTCAGAAGAACAGTTTTTTTTTTTAGTGACATGTGGTGGCAATATGGATGCTATATAAACCCAAGCTACTAAATAAAATTGATATTATATATGAAAAAAATCAAATAATCCCATTGCTTTCTCATCATAATTTTCTTTAAATCAAATTATCATTTAGTTCTTCATGCAATATTTGGGAAAAGTACGACACAAAGGTTTTCAGTATTACAGTTCTAGATGCATTGTCATTATGCTATGGAAAGCAGGTTCCTGGCTTGAAACGTATGTGTAGGCTCCTTATTGTATCTTGCTGGCATCCTTGGATCAAGAACTGCAGAATTAAGCTCTCTCATCCAAAGGCCATTACCATCAATGGGAAGAGTCCTATGGGGTTCACTTATCTTTGGATCGGGTCCCAGGACATCTGAGGATCTACTGGAGCTGGAAAAGCAAAAACTACATGAAAAAAAAAAAGTGATCCTGAGGCTGCGTAGATTAATATATTAGATGATTTCAGTGAGGCTGAGATCCAGCCATGTTGCATAACTGCACCACCCACAATCTGTGGCAAGAAGTAGGTTATTTCAAATCATTAATGAGCAAGCTGTTAAATACACAATCTGCATGAGAAGTATATTTACATCACTTATTCAGCTGAATAATGGAATGTGTATCTTTGAAATGTATTTTATCACCTCATTTTTATTTAACTTAATATAAAACTTAATATAAAAAAATATGCAGCATGCTTCTGAGTAAGTCTAAAAACACCTAAAAAGTCCTATTACCTGATTTAACAAAAATAGACAGTTATTCACCATGCTGCTCACACTTATCTTCTCTGCTTCTCTTTCATTTAGCACTTGTTTTACTTAAAACGATGAAGAATAGCTGGCTTATAAAATAGAATTCTTAGGTAGGTGACATTCTCTGTTAACATTCTGAAATTTTAACTACATTTCTGGGTCTTTGAAAGGACAGAATGAGGTGAAATGGTCCCTACTTTAAAAACAGTCATGCAGGGAAAAACAAAGAAAAAAAAGTGAATGAAAGAAGCTGAGCAAGAAACAAGGAGAGAACATGTACATCATTGGAGCTCATCAGATTTTATTTTCCTCTTCTGTTTTTCCCATGTTATTGGCCAGTGGTGGAAAATAGAAGCTGTGAGGAGAATGACAATGCAGGGGATGGACAAAAAGATGAATAATCTGTGGTTATTTATAACTCTGAGAAGAAAAAAAAAACGACCATGACAGTGCTTTCCCTAATTAAATGCTGCATTGTGACATGTAACACTGGAAAGCTGGTTTATCTGAGTGTATTGCCAATTAAGAAGATGATGAAACGAGCTTTGTTCGGGCCTTTGTTAAGGCCCATATAAACCGTCTCAAATCAACCTTTTTTTTTTTTTTTATGCTCTGTGTGGTAAAAAACCACCCTGCAATGTGTGTACGGCCTACCCAGAGCAGGTTCTTCTCTGACAGCCCAAAACTCTCTCGAAACTGTTCAAACTGAGGAGTTTTAATGCAAGGCTCCACCTGGCCTCGCATCTTGTGTGAAGCAGCAGACACTTCAGAGCAAGAACATGGATTACACGCACCCTGAACATCGACTACTTTATGTTCAGGGGATTTCCAAATCCTTTCCCAGCTATTCCTAACTTCCTAATGATATATTTATATATTTTTAACCACTGCTGAGCACTGTGCAGACAGCTTGATAGATCATTTTGATGTTTCTCACTGTGAAACAGAAATGGTTGCAAGTTGTGGCTGTGAGCACATAAATAACTTTTTTTCTTTTTGATCAAATAAAGTATCTGTGGTAGTTTAATTCTTACCTCAAATATTCAAAAAAACATTGTGGATCAAAGGGTCAGATTCTTATCTGCTCTGAACTGACAGCTAATTCCTTTTTAATCAGTGGTACTTTGAGCCACGAAAAGCTGACCTTTAGTTTTGATTGAAATTACTGGACTAATCTTCTCAGATTCAACTGAAAACAGACATACCGGAGAGAAGCTGTTAATAAAACATACATTTATTGTGCAGTGCCAAAGGAACTTAAACATCCCAGATACTCTTCCCGTAAGTAAAACTATATTTGGATTATTTAATGTGGACTAATATTTGTCACCCCCCACCCAATACTACCCATTGAGGTTTTTTGTTATCAAGTAAAGTTTGTCTATGTGTATTAACTCTTCTATTTTTACACAGTTTAGCAAAGCACTCATCATCACCAGATATAAGAGAGGTTGAGAATAATGAGTCCTGACCAGATAATCAGTCCCTAGTCCTTCCAGTGCTTTGTGTGGGGAATGCCAATCTTTTATTGCCCAAGGAATACTGCATTTCTACACAAACTGGAACAGCCACAATGAGAAGGAGGAATTAAAAAGGACCCTACTGCAAAATACATTCTAGCCTCTGAGATCAAGGCTTTCTGTAGCTCTGATTCTTGTAGGTAAAAGAGATATTTAAATCGTGCATTTTAGGTCAGCGTTTTCACTGTCAGATAAAAGGAAACTCTCAGGGTTTCCGTTATGTGTAGAATCAAGCATTGTTGGAGCATGTCTACTAATCAGACACTGCGAGTGATGGAGGCAGGGAAGTGTCTGCTTTTTAAATCTGTACAGTTCCTTCTATCACAATAGCATGTATGGATTTTACACATGTGTCACGTCCTACGGCGCTAAGAACTTTACAAAGAGGAGCCCTAACAGGGAGACTGTACCAGGAGGCAGCAGCTCGCAGCTGCGAGGTTTGCTGTGAGTACTGAGGGAAGTCACTTTAACGAGCAAACTGATGGAATACATTGAAGCACATAAGATTAATAATAGTAATAGTAATAGTAATAAAAATAGACAATCCCACTTGTACATTTATGGTTGTTAATGGCTGTATGAAAAACAAAATGAAGCCACCTCTTTCTAAATATTTCAGGAAGGCAGCAGGCTCTAAATGGCAAATGGATCAGGACTGGAATTTAACCTGGATAGAGCAGCCCATATCTGGTGAGCCGCAGCATAAGCAGTGACTTTTAAATCCCACCATTTTAAAAGAAGTGCTGGAAATGTTTTCAGGGATGCTATTAGTCACTTGGAATGTTTCCTGCTGGAGAATTCCTAGAGATGCTATATTGTAAAAATAAACAAAAAAGCGAATAAATAAATAATAATAATTTTAAAAATAGGGAAGGTAAGGAGAGGGGAGCAGTGCCGAGGGCCATTGAATGATCCATATTGTCAAACTCCAATTATCTGGTGTTTGTGAAACATGCTAATTATAATTTAGTATTGATTTGCCTTCAGGGTAAAAAATATTTCTCATTATTTGCATTCACGTATTTGATAAATCTATAGAGTCCAAAAGCCAATTCCAACCTGTGTGAGTTAGGGCTTATAGATTTAACTTTGGTCCACAATTCATTTCCCGTCAGTTGTGAGGCTGGTGAACTGTGCATGCTCCAGCAGCATGAAGTGAGACGCACAACTAAAACAAGGGACATATAAAATAAGTGACAAATCATGTTTAAATACTGGTCTCGGGGGCACTTTGAGGCTCGTTCGAGGCTCACTTTGAGGAAAGGACACAAGCAACTGCTGAGGAAACTGCGAGCAAAAGTAATAGATTAGGAAAGGCCACATTGAAGTATTCGATCTAAGAGCATCGTGCTAAATCAAGAATTAAACCCTCTCAGGCCTTGGTTCAGGGCCACTACCCTTGACACCCGCCTGGATGGCGCGAGCGGCGCCTTGCGGGAGCCGCCCCCGCCCCAACGGCTCCAACGGCCCCAACCGCCGCTGGAGACGGAAGTGACGGGGCGCGGGCCGGAAGCGGGCGGCATGGCGATGGCGGAGAAGTTCGACTCGCTGGAGGAGCACCTGGAGAAGTTCGTGGAGAACATCCGCCAGCTCGGCATCATCGTCAGCGACTTCCAGCCCAGCAGCCAGGCGGGCCTCAACCAGAAGCTGTGAGGCGCCCCCCCCGCTCCCGGGTCCGCCCTCGGGCCGGCCGGGCTCCTCGCGCCCCTTCCCCGCGCAGGCCCTGCCTGCGGCCCGGCCGGGGCTCCCGGGCGGGCGCCGCCTCGCTGGGCGTGCGGGGGGTCGGGGGGTGGCGCTTCGTGTGGACACGGGGTCAGTTAGTGACACCCCATCCCCCTTTCCTTTCCTTCTTTTCAGCAATTTTATGGTGACGGGCTTGCAGGACATCGACAAGTGCCGGCAGCAGCTGCATGACATCAGCGTGCCCTTGGAGGTGTTCGAGTGAGTAGAGAGGAGCCGCGCTGGCTGTGGCCTGCTCTGTGGCATTGGGGCCCCCACTGAGCTCTGGGTGCTTCTTAAAACCCTCCCTTTGTAATATCTGCCAAGACAGTGGGGGAAGAAGGGCTAGGGAAACTGCGAAATGTGTATATCCTTTCTTCAGGTCTCTCCCTGCTCCCCCCCCCCCCTTTTTTTTTAATCTTTTTTCCCCTTCTATGTTGCGTGAATTGGCACAGCCTGTTTTGCATCCATTAGTTTGCTAAGCTAGATGATTTCATTTTAGAAAGTTTCTTTTACAGCACATTCAAATCAAGATATAAACTTGGAAGAGAGAGTAAATTATGGCAATGTTCAGGTGTCTGATTTCATGAGCAGCCCTCTGCTTGTTGGCACAGAATTAGGCTAGTAAAAATTGTCATCACGGGGAGGAAGAGCCACACGCAATAGGCTCACAGCGTAGCTCTCGAGTTAACGTGCTCGTCCTTCACCTGTCACTCAGATGCTCTTGGTTTGCTGTGTTCTGGTGTGTTTCTGACTGTGGGGCTGCATTAGGGAGATTTTGCACTCGTTAGTAGTTTAGCAATCAGCAGTTTTATGTCTTCCATTTTATTTGAGAACAAAATGACTTTTTGCCAGTTTGATTTTATTTGTATGGCAAAGCAAAAAAATGTACTTGCTGATTCAAGGGCGTTTATTTCCATTAACACTTGTATGGACAATGTCTCCTCCCCTCAAATTGCTAGGTGCCTTATTGCTGGGTGCTCAGAATTATTAGCACATGATGAGCAACTTTGGGCTGGTTTTCTTCACTTCGAAGGGAAGCAGGCTTTTGCTTCATGTGGGAGGGCTCCTCTTGTTGACTGGGAGAAATTAGGTAACTAGTTGCTTTAAGGAAGGTATAAAGTCTGAGCCTGTTTGCAGCCCCAGCCTTGTTGTCTTGAGTTGTCTTTTGAAAATGGTGACACAAATTATGTTTTAAAGGGCACTTTTGAGTACAGAAAGGCAGCACCGTGAATGATTCTGTTTCTTGGTGGAAGTCACATCTGGAACGTGATCATTTAGATGGTGTCTCTTTTATTTTCAGATATATAGATCAAGGTCGTAATCCTCAGCTTTATACTAAGGAGTGTCTGGAGCGAGCTTTGGCTAAGAATGAGCAAGTAAAAGGAAAAATTGACACAATGAAGGTAAACTAGAAATAAGGAAAGTGCAAATGCATACAGAGCCTCTTTTTGAAAAGTCCCCACTTTTCTGTAAACTTGTCTATTTGCAACTATTTGCGCAACTATTAATTTTTCCTTGTTAGGTGACTTGCATTAGGGATTGCTCTGCATATCTGTGTTTTAACCGATGCTGATACGGCCTGTTGTAAAAAGAAAATTTCCAGTTTACCCTGTAGTTGGAGAAGTGGTAATCTTCGTGGCCTGTTTTGGGGTTTTTTTTTGTTTTGTTTTTGACAAAATGTGTGTATTTGTGTTAGTGAACAGAGTGGGTCTACTCCATTTTGTAGTACTAGTGCGACAAAAGATTTGTCAGCACAGTCTAATCCTCATGCAGCGACTCACAACCTATGCCAGCAGGTAGGCTGCATTTTGATCTGAGAATAACCTGAACCTTCTCTTACCCTGTTTAACCACTGGAATTTACTGCCAAAATGTGAACTGAAAAACAGTTCAGTAAAACTCAAGAAAGGGTTGTTAGTGCTTCAGAACAATTTTTGGCTAAATTTGAAGTTCATATAGAGTAGGGCAATTTGTGCTGCAGAATGCATGTCACAAGCTACTACACCTTCTTTTGGTACAATGCTCCGTGCTTGTAAAAGGTGTAGGAAGAATTATATGCCCTATTGTGGGATGGAGGGAATTTCATATCAAATTAAGTGCCCCTTTTCTTTGCATTAATAAGGTCGTCTAAAAATAGTTTTATTTATTATTAAGAAGGTATAATTGGAGCACAGCATATTTTAACAGTGAAATAATGTGACTAGTCACTGGAAACCTTAGTCAAAACACGATGAGTGGATCTCATTCTGGTCTGATTCCAAGTTCATCCTGACAGATCTTCATCTGGTAATGGGAGGTGGGGAGTTGTGAAGTGTTTAGAGCCTTTAAGAATCAGACGGATTCTTACCCGATTTCTATTTTTTGTGTAAGTCCAAATGCTAGGTAGTTTATTGGAGATTAAAAATACAAAATATTTTCTTGTGCCTGATGCTTTCCTAGCAGATTTTACCTGGTCGCTTTCTGTTAATTTTGTAATATCATTTTCTTTGCTGTGTGTGAGTCATTTTTGTTTTGTTTTTAAATAGTTCTTTCTAGTCATTGCAATGTTTAACTAGGCTTTTTTGTATAGAAACATTTGTATTCAGCAGATAATACTATTTGATGGACTGAAAGTAAATGGTGCAGGTGATCTTTGTGCATTTTCTTCTCTTTCCAGAAATTTAAAAGTCTGTTAATTCAGGAGCTAACCAAGGTGTTCCCTGAAGATATGGCCAAGTACAAAGCTATTCGAGGTGAAGATCCTCCTCCTTAGGTTGGCCTTCAGTAGCTCTAAAAATGTGAATTCTATGAATTGATGCTTACCTCTCTTTTTATAAAAAACTTTGTTTGGAGGGAGGGTGAAAACAAGCATTCAAAACAACTGTACTAAAAGATACGGCAGTGGTAGACTGGAAAGGAACTTGATGATTGCTGATGGTTCTGCTTTGAAGCTACTGAATCTTTGTGCAAGCTTGTGTTCAAAGGTTGCAGTTGAACCTCCCTGTGACACCTGCAGTCAATTATATTCCACAAAGTGCATTTCCAGAGCAGAAAAATACATTATTTTGGTTTCTGATAAATGTGCTCCAGGACTACGAATTTTCATTTGTAAACTGCTTTTTGTATTGGTTTGTTTTTTTTTTTAAAAAGGACTGCTTCCATTTTGTAAAATTTCACTGAAATGGAATCCATCAAGGCAGCTGCCGTTTTCATAGTTCTTAAGAAACTGTAGCCAAGAAGACATTTTTGTTCTGTTTGCTGCTACTGAGGATCTAGAAACTGAGCACATTCAGGGACTGGCTCCTCAACAATGTTTATTTTGTGTAATAATATTTAATGTAGACACTTTTAATTCTATTAATTTTCTGTAAGCACGTTGTACAATAAAAAAAATTGAAGAAATTCTAGGATGTTTCAGTTCAGTGCTGCTCTTAATGAAATGAGCTGTGACAAGTAGTACATTAGTACATTCCTAACTCCCAGAGGGGTAAAATTGTATCAAAGCTCGTGTGCTAAAAGTTTATATTTGAAGCTAATATAAAGCCACTGTTTTGTTTCTTGCAAAGCAAGTGATAATAGCTGAAGCAGGAGATTTTGGCAGATCAGTTATTGTGTTTCTGATAGCTGCAAATCCTCTATAAAATTCTTTTTTTTTATATATATATATATATATATTTTGGCAGGGGATGTTTAGTGGGTATAATATGGAGCTGATATGAAACATTTTTGCTTGGAACCACTCTTTTAAAAAGGTGGAGTCAACATTTGAAATACTAAGGTTATCAACCATCACTATTTTTATTGATTTATTGATATATATAAATATAATTAATGAGCATACCAAGTTGAGTGTAACCCAAACCCACAAAACCTGGGTAGGAAGTGCAGATGAAGTGAGGTGAAACAACATATTAAAGTTGTGTCCTCACTTGGGGAACCAGAAGCAGAATCCAGTTCCCAACCATGAGTGCTGGATGCATTTCAAAAGGGTAAGCATAGAAATTAAGCTTTTGTTTTGTTTTAAAAAGGGAATTTTTCATTTATAGAATCACAGAATAGTAGAGGGAAAGTGGAGTGGAGTAAAAAGGGAGCTCTGGAACCCAGTAACTCCCCTCAGAGCAGGGGCAACTGGAGCAGGGGCAGCTTGTCCAGTCACATTTTTGTTATCTCCAAGGATGTAGAATCCACGACCCTTCCGGACACTTTGATCAATGTTTGATTATTTATACAGTGGGAAAAAAAAAAAAGCTTTTTAAGAAATAATTGGATGGCCTGTACTGTGTTTGTGCCCCATTCCATCATGTATTTACACATTGATAACACCTGCCCTGAACCTTTTCACATCTAAACAATTTCAGAGTTCTGATTCCAGTTCTCAGCCTCTCCCTTAGTCATTTTAGGGACCCTTTGTAGGATATGCTCTAATATGTCCATTTCTTTCCTCTACTGAGGAAAACTGGGTACAGCGCTCAAGATGTGATCTTGTCAATGCTGAGAAGATGATCAGCTCTGACCATCTGCTCACAAAACTCTTCCTCATGCAGCCCATGCTGCTCTTGACCTTTTTTTTTTTTTTTTTTTTTTTTTTTTTTTTTTTTTTTTTAATAACCATAAGGGCACCTTCCTGGCTCATAGTCAACTTGTCCATCTGGACCCCTACGTGCTTTTCTGCGAAGTTACTCTTGAAGTGGTTTTCCCCCAGCACGTACAGATACACGAGGTTATTCCTTCTCAGGCATCACCTCCTCTGCAGGGCTTAGTATTTGCCTTTTCTGATAATTTTTCCAGCCATTGTCCCTCTAAAAAGCCGTGCAACCCTCTACTGTACTAGCCACTCCTACCAGTTTGGTTTTCATCAGCAAACATTCTGCAGGTGGGTTTGGTCCTGTCATTAATGAAGCTAATAAACATTGGTGGCCGCAATACCAGCACCTGAGGTGCACCAGTAGTGGCTGGCCACCACCTGGACTGCGTGAGGTGATTATAACCTGCAGCTAGTTTTCAGTCCACCTTGCTGTTCATTGATCTAACTCATATTTCATTAGCTTGTCTAGTAGGATGTTTTGGGAGATGGTCTCAAAAGTGTTGCTAAGGTCAAGATATACAACATGCACGTGCTCTGCTCTCCCCTCATCCATCAAATCGGACATCTCATCATAGAAGGCTATCAGGTTGAGCAGACATCACCACCTCACCCTTTGGAAATCCATGGTAACTACACCCAATATGCTTGGAAGTGGTTTCCAGGATTAGTTGTTCGAACACTTTCCATGGACTGAAGTGAGATTAACCAACCTGTAGCTCTCCAGATGACACTGTCTTTCTTCTAGTCCTCAAGTACCTCCCCTAATCATGATGATCTTTCAGAAATAATCAAGAATGGCTTCACAATGACACTGACCAGCTCCCCCAACACTTGTGGGTGCATCGCACTGGATCACCTAGACCTGTGGATGTTCAGGTGTTTCCTGACCTCTTCTAGTTCCACAAAGGGTAACTTCATTTCTGCATTTTTTTCCCCTGGTCCCTTCAGCCTGGGATGTCTGAAGATGAGTTTTACCAGAAAAGAACTAAGTCAAAAAAAGCATTCAGTATCTCTGCTGTGTCCTTTGTCACTAAGGCCCACAACAAGCCCACATTTTCCCGTCATCTTCCTTTTGTATGTACTTGTAGAAGCCTTTTTGTTGTTGCTCTTCACATCTCTCGACAGGTTGCAAACAGGTTTTCACTTTCCTAACCCCATCCTTACATATTTTTTTTGCCTTTGGTATGTTATAAAATTGAATGCTAAAATTGAATTCTAAAATGAAGATGAACATTGTTTGAAAATGCTAATGTATTAATGGAACTACGGAGACCTAAATTCAGTCTGCCTTTTGGCATGCAAATGTATATATGTAATTTATGCTGACGTTCAGCAGATGTCGTTTATGACTTACATGAGACTGATATTTATTATGCTGATAGAATACCTCTGGTGGATGTACTCTTTGTTGAAGAGATGCATGTGTTAAAAACTCCTGAGAGAGATGAAATACCCAGAATTAGCATGATATAAGTGACAATAATGAAAAGAATGCTAGTGGAAAATGAATAGATAGTAAAATACCACCAGATTGGTAAGCAGTGATAGAAAGAGCTTGACTAATTATAATGTAATTTAGCTTGTTTTTTCCTTCTCTAACCCTTCAGATATGTGCTAATAATGGCAAATCTTCACAACAGGGTTGCAAAGTAGATATAAATATGAAAATCACCTTTTAAAGCTTGGTCAGCATATGTAGGTAGACCGGGTTAGATTTAAAACCTGACAGCATGTTGAATATTGTAACTCATAATGCAAAATAGTTCTTACTGTAGCACCAAAAAATGGAGAATAAGAATAGATTAAGAATAGATTCTTAATGACAGGTTCTTTTCCTTGCCACCTTGACAAACTGTGAACCCCTTAAAGATTAAATCACTGTCTAATGAACACCAGTCTGGAAGAGTAAGACCCCATTTACAGAAGGCTGTGGTATTAACTTAAGGTACTTTAAACTGGATTAAAAATGCTTTACTAATTCAATTTAAAGTAAAACTTTGATTTAAAAACTTTTCCCCATAGACATGCCTTAAGAGAGTTTTAAGTTAGCCCTTTATAGGAGACAAATGAAAAGCATGCAGACCTAGCTGTTAGCACAATTGGTGCCCTTCTTGGTACTGAACAAGGAGATACAAATTTAGAGCATGGCATACTGAAAAGCTATTTCGTGAGGTTAGCATCCTTTTCTACTACACTGATTTCCTTTTTGCTCCCTTAGGACAAGAATATGTATAGAAATGTCATTACAAATGGGAGAAAGAAAGAACCAAAAGAACTGATTGAACCTGGAATTGAAAAAGACCAATTCTGAGCCACTGAATGCAATCTTCCATAGGAGACAGAAGCATTTAAACAATCACGTACAAGGGTGCACCAAAGAGCTACTTCATGCACCACCAAAACCTGCTCTTTACATTATGTCCCAAGAAGGATTTAGGATAGATCAAGGACATGCATAATTGCTCAAAGCTGTGCAATAAGCACAGACTTTGTTAAGTAAAAATACTCAGCTGATTCTGCGAAGTGAGTTGTGCCCCATTCAAGGTCTGGTAGGTCCTGAGAGTGTGAAATCAGGTAAAATACTTCCTTAACCTATTGCAATCAGTTAAATATTTAGGACGCGAGCTAGATGTGTTATATAGCTTCCCAAGGCATTGTTATTACTGCTTGGAGCACTGGCACATGCTACCCAATATTTTGTCTCTGTAGCCAGTGTGATTATTTCAGAGGAAGGCAAAAAAATCCTGGGAGAAATAAAATCATCCCATAAGAGAGGAAAAAAGAATCTTTAATAACTGCACCATGGAGACATGGGAATAACTAAAGCATGAGATTAATTCAATATAGACATAGTATGAATGTGAAGGATCAGTGAAGAATGAGCATTTTTTCTTTCGCCTTTCCACATTTCCTCTTCCTTCTAGTCATATGATGATAAATATCTATCTGATAAAAAAATCAACATGCAAGAACTCATATTGTCTGTTTTAATTTTACACTCCCTAATCACCTCTATATCTTAAGACAATGCGTTCTCTGAACTCAAGTGACAACTGAAATAGCTTCTTGTTCCCTGTCTTCTATCTAATACCCAGTCCACATTTGTTATCAATGTCATCTTATGCTAGAATTATCATTTTAACTTCAGTAGTACTTTGAATTCCTTGATTACTGACTACCTTAATAAAAACTTTTTTGTGTGTGTCACCTCCAAAATCACATTTTGCTGGTCTGGACAGGCTGATCTATGGCTTTCTCTCCTCATATGACAGACACTCCATCTTCCATCACTCTTCCTGGTATCTAATCCTTAGGTTTTCACTGGCAGTTTTCACAGACTCTAGATGAATTGTTGAGGATTCTGCTTGTCAGGAGCATGACCTCTTTGTGCAAGGCAAAAATAGAAGCCTAAACAAGAACTAATACAATTTCAGCATTATTCTAGAAGAATCACTTAAGCACTTATATGCTTAAATGCAGATTGAAAATCCATCAACTCCTATTTCTAAAAGCTTGACAAATGTTCCCGTTAATGGTACAGAGGTGCCAAGAAAACATATTGTGTAGTAATATAACCACAGAAAAATGTTAAGAGTCTGTCTAGTACAACCTCTTGCTCAAAGCAGGCACTAGATCAGGTCTAAAAGAGCATGAGAGAGATAGAAAAAAAGAGAGAGAGAGAGAAAGAAAACAAACAAGCAAAAAAGAGATGATTCTTATCTACATTTTTTGAGTTTCAAAAATCCAACACATTGTAACCGTTTCAGTACCAGTGTAGTGGCCAGGTCCCTGAATGCACTGACGGAGCAGCCATACGGGCTCTGACAGGCCTCACCTGGGGCCTCCAGAACAACCTTCTGACCAGGGCCTCCACCTAAGCTTAGGCCTGGGTGTCAGTCTCTGCCTGAGCTGTTTTACAGGTAATTGTGTTTCCAGTTGTAGCTGTCTATGGACCTCCTTGACCTGGGCTTTGACCAGTGAAGTGGCTTTCCTGCTTGACCTCAGAGCACTCATCACTTTGCTGCATGGTGATTGCTGGACCACATCTGACTCGGGTTACTATCAGTAGACCTGACCTGTGGATTGACTTTCTGACTTGACCTCGGATGTGACTCATTACAAGTCTCTCTGGTGACCTGGAGTCTGCTTAACCCTGGCCACCATCCCTGGACCTGGCCATAGGACCTTGCTTGGAGCAAGTGCTGCCTGGGTAGGCCCTTGTCCTGCTGACCTTAGGAGGTTCAGCTCTCTGTCCCTTAGGGAATCTGGCCCTTGTGGCTCCTGGACATCTAGTGTTGGCCAAAAATGTTTCGTATGTGCATGTCCATATTACAGCAGTCTTACACACATAATGCCACTGGGATTTTGTTTATTTTATGCTTCTACTCCATAATGTAATGTCTATTAAAGAATATAACCCCATTGACTTATTTTTCTGCACTTCTATTTTTCATATAAAAAAAACCCAATGCTTTGATTGCTACTGTTTTATGCTTTTAGGCAACACACATACTAATCTCAACTATGCTTCAATAATATAGCTGGTATATTCCTTTGATAGTTCCCAGCAATTGGGTTGCTTTCAGTGACATCATCTAAATCCCTAGGCATTCCTTAAGATATTCTAATACTTAAACAAAAACTCCATTCAAACACTTTCTTTTGTTTTAACAAAAACTCGACCCACTCCCTGCCTCCAAACATGTTATCTAACTGCTAATTATGTTTGTTTAACCTGCAAATTGTCTCAAGGTTTGTTGCAGCGAGATGAAATAAGCATCCTTTAATGTGTTTTATTCTTTTACAGCATTGTTTATTCTTTCACATATGAGTCTTAGGAACTAAGTTATGTAGACAGTATTTCAATAATTATTTACAATGTCAAAGGAAACTGACAAGTACTACTTCAGCAGGATTTCCAAGTGATAAATGCATTATTTTGCTGTAACCCCATTTAGCTTGTTACTTTATCTCCAGTCAGTATTTTTCAGATGACATTACAGATGATGATCATCCTTAAAAAGATCTAAATTTGAAAAGATACATTGTGAGAAGCTATCATTCAAATAGCAAATCTGATCTTGAAAACTCTTTGAGATAATACTGTGTCATCAAATAGGTCTACCTATCTTTTTTGGCATGTTTATTTTTACTTATGTTATCCGTGCTAATGCATCTTTTTAAAGTTATCCTAAATACAACTGCCTAAAAATCTTAAACACCTGATTTCATTTACATTTTATCAATATAAAATCTCTAAGTATATAAATACAAACACATATGTATAAATGCAAATCTGTTTTATCTTTTTTTTTGTAAATCTAATCTTTTATCCTAATGGTTTCTGACGCTCACATAAAACTAGTCTTTTGTTTCAACATATCTAATTCCTCAGTATAAACAAATCATTCCAGAAGCACTAGACCCTCTTCCCTAGATATTGTGTGTCTTGTCTCCATTGCAGCATGTCATAGATAGGCCTATTGTTGTTTCTGTTAAAATAGAAAAAATAATATAAAATAAAACAAAGAAAAAAAAACACAAAAAACAATAACCCCTCTATACACACACACACACACACACACACACACACACACACACACACACACAATGAAGAACTGTAGGAAATATCTATTCTATCCCTTCTGCAAGGAAAGATCTAATAAACCCTGAAATAATAGAAAGATTCAGGTTGGAAAGAACCCCTGGAGGTTGTCTAGTCTGACCCAAAATAGTTGGCTCAAAATAATTCTCTGTAGCTTCAGTGAGATCCCATGGTTCAGGACCTGACAGAAACCTTCTGTCATCCCAATATGAAGTCTCTCTTTTTCACAGCATCTTTCTGTGTTATGCTACAACCCGACTGTTTTGTTTGTTTGTTTTTCAAAACTGCTGCATGACTTGTGCCTCACGCTGTGTTTGTGTAGGTAAGGACTTGCATCTGTGTGAAGAATATGGAGATGATGACTCTTACAATATTTTTATTTATTTTTATTTTTATTTTTATTTTTATTTTTATTTTTATTTTTATTTTTATTTTTATTTTATTTATTTATTTATTTATTTTTTTACTACTGATTCAGAGCACAAACGAATAATCCTTCTTAGGTTTTTGTAGTCAGCAAATGTAACAAAGATGCTCCCAAGCCACTAATGAAAATGCTGTGTAGCATGAATGCTGCAATCAAATTTGATTCACTACTGTCATCCATAATACAGGAATACACTAATAAACACCTTTTGAGGGTTGTTTTCAACGTGTGCTTGTTTTGCACTTGTCTGCAGTATTTTTATCCTGGTTATTGGTGTAGATTCCACTTAGAGTACACAAGTCTATCACCTTATTTGCTTGTCCGTATTCACAAAGTGAATAAGATAACAATGCAGTTACTTGTCCTTCACTTGCTCAAACCAATCTGACCTGTTGTAATATGTAATGGTTGTAGAATTCAGTATTTCAGTGTATTTCTGTCAGTGTCCATAGGGATGATGCCTCTGGACTTTTATAGCTTTCCACACACAAGGCCAGAAGAGAACAAACAAGCTCATGTGCCTTATTAGATTCCTCTGAAATTCTGAACACTGGAAGCTAGAAAGTTTCACTTAAGCATTCTTAGACTGCATTTTAAAACTTGAGCCATTAAAAAAAATCTTTAAAAATGCAAAATTGCAGGTTTATGAAGTCAATCAGAAACATAAAGCAAGGTCTCAAGTTGAGCAAATGTAGAACCATGGTTCCACCTGACTCCATACCTGTTCCTCAGATAGGCTGAATATTTCTACATATACAATAGAGATATTCAGAAAACACACTGGTCTTAAACTGAAAGAGTTCTGAGCTGCCTGAGATGACAACCTGTGTGGAAGCAGTGGCAGCTTGCTGAGCTTCCCAAAGCCATTTCATTCTGACTTTGCTAAAATTAATTTTAGTGAATTTTCCCAAGTGTGTTAGAAGGTCTCTGAGGGTAGAAGTGCCCTGTAACACATCACTCACCAAACTTACAGCAAACCAATTTATACTGTGGCTGACAAAAACGATTTTGCCTCTTTAGCAAGAAGACCAAACAACCAGTTTTCGAGAGGCCTTGCAAGTGCTGACCATGAAAATGACAGGTTGTCTTCCAGAAGGGGCAACCACCACATGAACCTTTGTGTATTGGCTCCCTTTGCCGCTTGGTGGTTTTGGCCACCAGTTTTTGAGTATCGTATCCCATGAAAAGGTGACCTGGGACACAAAGCCTTTTAATTAGCCTGGAAAGCCAACTTCATATTCATGGCTGCTTTATATCCATGCTGTCAACCCGCTGCCTCCTGCGGTCCTCCGTCGCTATGGCAACACCCTCCTAACAAGGGATTTTCTATCACACAGGGAGAAAAGCAGAGCCAGGAGGTTCAGAACTTCTGCCTACAGCCTGATAAATGCTGTGTGTTAAGGACGGCTCCTTCTGTAAGTTTTATTGTTATTTTTTTACCCTCGGATGTCATTCAGAAGATTTTTTTTCTTATTATAAAAAGTAATCCTGAAAAACGCTGCAAATGTTAATTCACCTTCCTTTCTCAAATGCCCTTTGTGAAGTGCCAAGTGAGGAGATGGCTGTATTGACCAGTGTAATTCAGTTTATTGATATCTGTGAAACACCCTCCAGGTCTACTAGTTGGCAATTATCATGTTGCCTATTGTATTGCTGGTTCAATCAAAACCAGATTCATTTTAATTTATGAAGAAAAGCTACATAATGGTGTATTTCTAGTATTTATTGTGTAGCACAGATTTATTATATGATACAAATCACAAAAATACATAAACCAATATTGAGCTATTAATCTTTTAAATACTTTTTTCTTTCATTGGTGCATGTTTTTCTCTAAAGCATCTTTCTTTATGTTACTAAATTCTTGCAGCCTGTTGTAATGAAATAGAGGACAGCATTCAAAATGTCTGGACACATTTTGTCGTTTATTTCAATACAACAAGCTGTGAAATGTACATGATTTTAATATGTCATCATTCAGAAAAGAAAAAGAATAAAGACAAAAAAAAATCTAGAAATCTAGCAGGGTTCCAAGAGCATTGTTTGAAATAAGTTATCACCTATTCTGATTTTCATAAGCATTGACAAGGTGCTGTGTCTTCATTAGGCACTTAGTATTCTCACAGGACTGTCCATCATATAAAGACAGATGCAGACATACAGGCAAATAAAGATAAACTGAAGTCTTAGAGATTTTCCTCAGGACTTCAGGAAATGTAGGAAAACTGAGAAAAGAAGGTGGTTTCTATCTGGATAACCAAGTTTGGATTAAGAAGCTTAAAATTAGAAGCTAATGTTTGAAAATGTTAGTGGCAGGCTATTGTAAAGCATAAAAAGAGTGAAAAGTACTATATCACTACAAAATAAATCTTGGTTTCCTTGGAATAATGCAGACTAGACTGTAATTCATTCCTTAAATTACTTTTTTTCTTTTTAATTTTGAAATGAATAACTAATATATGTTGCTTAGCAACTCAGACAATACCAATGTCCTTGGCCAGGTTGAGTTTATCTCCTTTTCAGAGTTCCTGCCTGTAGCTTTCCATTTATTTAAAGCTCTGTAATACCTTCCTTGCTTCTTATGCTTTACATCCAACATTGTCCTTTTTTCAGTTCTCTACAGAACAGATAGTTTTGCGCTACAGGAACTAGGTCCAAAGAACAGAAAGCTGTAAGGTATTAGAGATATTTCTACATCCTTATAATATCTTAAAACAAGTTATAAAGAAATGCAGCTGAATACTATTTTCATAAATTAATTTCATTTATTTTCATTAAAGTTCTTCTGCCTGATTTTGTCCTGCTTCAGAAATATTGTTGATATGAATGAGATAGTAAAATGGACTTCATATGTTATCGGAGCACATTCCGCTTTCATACCATGTATGATGAAGACATGATGACACTTGGAGTGGGTCTGGTGGAAGGCCACCAGTCAGGTGGCTGGAGCACATGAATCCTGAAAAAGAAGACACTAAGACATAAACTAACTGCTATCTGACAGTACCTAAAGTTGAATTATAGGGAACATTGCACCAGACTCCCTTATGAAGAGGGGCTTTTGCAGTAGCAAGTTGCAACAGGAGAAATTCTAATTACATGTAAGGAAACAATTCTTCCCTATGAAAGCAGTTGAGCACTGGAATAGGTTGCCCAAAGAGACAATAGAATTTCCTCCTGCTGCCTAGACTCCCTAGATTCACCTGGATGGCCTACAGAAGACCTTTCCGATATAAGTTTTGCTTTTATGTTCTCTGCTGAACTAAGTAGGGGGATGATGAGGCCCTGTCATGTTCATGTGAGTGCTGCTAATGTTTCTGTATACCCTGTGCTTGTGCATCTACGTGTGTCTGTATGTCTGGAACACATGATCAGTCTTAATATTGCCCAGATCTGGAAATAAGGAAGAGCAGCAGCCACATTCACAAGACTGGGATGGGAGAAACCTCCTAGTTTTAGAAGGGACTGGATTGGTCTTTAGCAGGCTGGGGAACAGAAATCCTCTGGGCCTCAGGGTCAACTTCCTTAGCATTCCCTGTGTTGAGCCATTTGGTGATGTCTTACTCCTAAATTAATGTAAGAGTACAGCTGGTGTCATGTCTGTGACTTTTGAGTTATGATGGAGCCCATGGAGCAGCTGTTTGTGGCTCTTTCTGGGTGCATCTCCTGCCATGAGGGAGCTAAAAGCTTTGGGACGAAGCGAAGCTCAGCAGGAGGAACATGCAAATTCCTAGCTCAGTGAATGGGGAACAAGTTACAGGATTCAGAGCTGCAAGTGGGAAGTGAAAGGCTTGACAGGCCTATAGCTGGGAAGAGATGTATTAGTCTAATGATAACAGAAGAATCACTCCTTAGTCCCCTAGACTGATAGGCAGTGTCAGCAGGAACAGGGCTTTCACGGGCTCCATGGAGTTAAAGTATTTTAAACGTGTCAAGTTTTATGGTTCTTTGAACCTTGGCATTTTCTGATCCAGATAACACATTATGTGTTCGCAGTAGGTAACACAAAACTATGAAGAAAGCTGTGGAGAGAGAGCTGTGAAGCAACAAGTTGTTTGCTTATTCTTTTCAAAATTGCTTAGCTGCCATGGAGATGTGCATAGCACAGATACCAAGAGGAACCAGTGTTATTCCCACACATGCCATTCTGCAGCACTGTGTACGGTGCTTAAAAATAAAGTCACAGGACAATTTGAGTTTAGGAATTCTTCACCCCAGAACTCTGCTTTGATCCATGAACAGCATTACCTTCCAAGGGAGAAAGAAAACTTCAAAAGCACAAGACTTTAGACCAAGGGACCTGCATCTCCACCTTTTAACTTTCAAAATGAAGTCTGAAGAACAAGAATCTTGTCTGTGTGGTGCTAATCATCATTTTTTTCTTTTTTTCAATGATTTTTGCACTGTGATTTGTTCCATGCTATTGCAGCAGTGCTTGAGCAGCTAAGCAAACGGCAAAATAACAACACTTTGAGCTTGATTCTCCCTTCCTTCCATAGGGACCCTTCCAGAAGGAGCATATCTACCCCAGACATCTCTACTCTGGTTGCACAAGTAGAAAGAGGAAATCCGCTTGTGCAGACTGCTGTGCTTGATTTATTTAGCCTTTCTAGAAGGGCTAATGGAGCTACATTGCTTCTGGAGACTGGAGTAAGTAGGGCTTCACAAAGCCCCAGAGCACCATATCAGCATGCCCCTTGCTGCCACAAAGAGGGTGCAGAAATCCCAGCATCTTGAAAGCCTCTCCAGCTCACAAGGAACATTGAGAAGAGCCATGTGCTTAAAACCCTGCTCCTGTTAGGTCTTTCATTACTTCACATAGGCTGAAAAAAAAAAAACCCTTTGAACCCTTTCTGGATTTCTTGTTTTCCTCAAGAAATACAAATCTATCTCCAGGATGCATAGGATCTACTCTAATTTCCTTCATCTTCAGAAAATTTGATCCTGCCAAGTAAATATTGTGTACGAGGACACTGGCTACTCTGGTAAGAAGGGCAAAGTTTGCAGTTCCTTTTGATAAGACTGCTCCACTTCAGCTAGACAGGAGCTCAGGACAACTGAGCATTCATCAGTTGAGCCAATCAGCTGGCCAATATTACGGTTAAGACACTCTCTTGAGATAAGGATATGTAGAAACTTGCAACAGAAATATTCATATTGAAATGATGACATCTGACTGGAAATGAACTTATGTGATAGCATCACAAGAAACACTAAAGCACAGGTTGAAGGAATGGCATTGACATCCAGTGACTTTATCTAGACAGCAATAAAATTGTCATTGTGCCTGTCCTCACCTTGGTATTCCAACAGGAAGAGATACTGCAGCTTCAGGATATCCAAACTGAGGAAACAAAAGAAAATGGGCAGACATTTTGCTTATATATATATTTATATAGATTATTATTAATAATAATCACAAATAACTAGTGAAGCCTAAAGAGCATGAAAGATCTGTCCCAGACCAGTTACTTTTCATCAATAGATACAAAAGACACAGTAAAGACTCAATAGCTGGTTTCTCTCATCTACTCCGTTGTTACACAAGTGACCAATGACTGTTAGGATGGAAAATCAGTTTGTTTGAAATAGATAGAATCTTTTTCACAAGATCTTGCACTGATTTTCACTACCTTAATTTACTATGATTCCGTGTTTTGTGACTATATCACTATATTAGGCTTTTACCAGATTCTAGGCAAGTGCTCTAAAATAAGCTATAGTTGCTCTAAATTCCTAAATAATAACTTCTTCATTATTCTATGTGAAGTAGGATGGCTTGAGTAAAAGATGCTGAGAGTTTTCCATCCCATATCCCTGGCATATTAAGACTCTTCCATCATTTTTTAGGGAGTAAGATTTAACAAACTGAAGGAAGGGATTCCTTGCAAGTGCAAAGGAGTGTACTGAGAGGGTAGAGAGAGGATTATTACTCCAGAGCCACTTCCCCTACTATCATTGCAAGAGGTCTAACACAATCTCTGACCCTTCCCTCATTCACATGCATTTGCCACATCCTTTGAAGTGTTCATTGCGGAGGAAATGTTCCAGTGTTATCAGTGGGCTACTTGCTGTCCAGATTAGACACTGAACTGCCACTTGAGAAGCTCTCATAAAGTTTTCTGGTGAGAGAGAGCTTTAAATACAGATTCCTCCAGACAGAGAAATACCATCATTGCTGTAACGTCTTGATATTAACACCAGGGTTCTTCTACAGAACAGCCCTCAGGCTGTATTTTCTCACTGAGTTCTTCATCCTCTTCAGCTGCTGTCAGCTTATCTACATGTGTTTAAGGAATGTAAAGTGGTAACATACACATTTTGGCACTGTTAGTATCCCAAGGTTTAGCCATCAAGCAAATAGTATTTTGGTGAACCAAAATTTGAATTTAAGCACCACAAACTGACAACACTC